CTATGCGCCAGCTCGGATATCCTAGCTTACTCCTACATGTTGACATTTTATAACGCGTTGCCGTAAACAGAAGACTAGTCGTAAATGTGACACCGTTCATAGATAAAGTTGATTTTAGTTAAAGCTCCGTTAAATCCAAACCATAACCGAAGCAATTCATCAATTATTTGCATTTTTGCTTTATTTTCAGTAAGATAATGTAATTTGTGCTTATACAAATAATCAAATAATTAACGAATTTTAATCACAAAAAAAAACAAGAATAAAAATAAGTTCAATAAATAAAACTTGAATATTTTGCATTTAATAAAACAATAGTGTAAAATTTAATTAAATTCAAAACTTAATTTGGCAGTAAAAATTAAAAACAATAGTAAATAGTGTAAATTAGATAAAAAAAAAACAAATTTGATTGCAGTACTTTATTGTAGCGCCTGAAAGTAGACAACAACTTAAAGGAAGTAAATTGAAACGCCGCAAACTCTCTGCTTGCTTTTTCTACAAGGAAAAGAGCAGGAGGCGCGTTTCAGTTTTAAATAAAATATTCAAAAAAAAAAAAAACTTTAAAAAATAAATACATTTATTTTTCATTGTTAAACGTTAAAGTAAACAGCCTCAAAATTACAGAACAAAAGAATCAAGTTACACGCGCTATGCCCGAGCAGAGCAACGATTACAGAGTCGTTGTCTTCGGTGCAGGCGGCGTGGGAAAAAGTTCGCTGGTGTTGCGCTTCATAAAGGGCACATTCCGGGAAAGCTACATACCGACCATAGAGGATACCTATCGTCAGGTGAGTGCGTATGTTAATGACAGCACAGCAAAGATGTCGCAACAGCTGCATAAATGTTTTTTAAATACGTATCACGCATGTGTGGGTGTGAGTGTGGTGGGTGCGGCAGCGCTTTGCTAGTATTTGTACCGCTTACAACTAAGTACCACTTTAGTAGGCAATTATATTTTGTTTTGTTTGCATGAATTGCTTGTACATTTGTACAATTTTATTATGTTTCTGTTGGTTTTCTATTTTTTTTTTCGATTTTTGTATAACAAAAGGATTTGATTTAATGTTGAAATAGCACGAAACAAAAAAACAAAAAAAAAAAAACAAAAAAAAATCATTTTCAAAACAATTAAAGTCTATTTTTATGCTGAGAATAATAATTTAATAATTTGCTTTATTGTTGTGTTTCCTATAATTTGGTGCTACGAAAATGGTCGTAAGAAATTATTAATATTACTAATAAATTTAATATTCTCCTTCAAAAGAATTCCTACAAATTGTGTTATGTTCCCCGTTTAATATTATTGTGTTGTATACTTTTAGGCTCGCAATAGCGTTTGTCCTTCAAATTTAGCTGTTATTTTATTTGTTGCTCTTGTTTTGGTATCTGTTGCTTGCTATTTTTAATTAAAACCTACTATTTATAAAGGACGCTATACTTTGTGGAAACGCTCTTTGCCACCGTGGCGCTGCCCCTTTCGCTAGTAATGCGTGAGTGTGTTTTTAGTTATAATTAAACACGCAAAGGCTGGCATTACATAGCAACGCGTAGGAGGTTTAATTTAAACCTTTTGTTAGAAGACGCATTGAAGCATAAATTTCCTCCGTACACTTTACTTTTTTATTCCATTTTAACCGCTCAACTTTTGTTTATTTTTAACAAATACGAGTATTTCTTTGTAAACTTGATTATTTGTGCAAACTATATTTTTAAATATTTTCTATAATTCATCCAGGTGTGATATTTTTAATATTACGCTTTTGTGTAATTGTGTAATATAGTTAGGGATCTAAATTCTTAACTGATGCATAAATATACATACTATTCATAGATGTTGGTTAAATCACCTTTAACATTTCATCAACGTTAACATAATAATGCGTTAGGAAATAGATTTTAAACGTTTTAACTTTTCCCCTTTTGTCTTCGCTTACAAATGATTGGAATGATAATAGCTATTGAGAAAATTAGTTGTGGCCATCAGTAGATGATATTCTCAAGTCTTGTTCATCCATTATACAAAACGAACCCTTTATTTACTGACCTTATAGTAGTACCTATTGGCACTTGTGGTTTTTGTTTTTATTTCCAGGTAAGCGTCGTTGTTGCTTCAAAAATATAGTCACAGTCACCAGTTCGGCGTCCGAGCAAAACACATATCTGCTAATAGCTGATATATACTTTATGTTGCCCTCATTCATCGCTAAACCCAGTTTTGCAAATTCTTTTTGGGTAGCAACAAAGGTACCAGTAGTTTGCTACGCCCAATGATGTCGGTATTGTTAGCAAGAAACACTTCTTTATCAAATCTCTTTATTGCCTTTGCACTGCCAGTTGTCTCTCAAAATTTCTTACGATCTTGACACCATTTTTCTATTCCATCTCATGTTTCAGTACCTCGCTAAAGGGAAGACTCAGAACTTTTGGGGTCCCTTTTCTAACTAGATAGGCTAACTAGCTATCATGCTCTAAAATTAAAAAAATAGTCAAGTATATAGACTTTTAAACTGTGTCCCTTTGACTTGAACAGGAGGAGTTGCACATTCTTAAAGGCACGCTGTTCATGAGGTATATGCTTCGGTGTCCTGCCTTTAAGGTGGTACTTCATGTTTGACATTCGTACAGTAGCTGATATCATTATTAGCGCTCAAATGAGCTTTGGTGTACAGTTTTACTATTCCAACCTAGGTTAGGTTAACTGAAATGGAAAGAAATTCTCTTCAAATAGTTAGCAAAGCTGTTTTGATTCTACGTTTGTTATAATAGTGTGCAGAAAAAAGATCATGTTACAACCAACCCTATGTATCGATAAAAACAAGTATCTAGTCAATGTTAATGCTGGGAATGTTAAAAAATGGGGCATCTAATAGCTTAACCCTCGTTCTAGACAAGCCTGGACATAAACACAGGCTTGTTCTGGTGTCTTTTCTTCGATCAGCAGTGGACATGTACTACAGAATATACTATAGGGTAGATCGAGCTTGTCTCCATGCCGACCTACACTTCAGTGCCCCGTTAAAACAGATATTAACTAAGATAGTTCCAATTTGCTTCTGTGTACCAAGTTGAAGTTTCTACAGTTGTAGCAAAGGGAACCTGTAGCTCTCTTGACTTGGCTACTAAGAAAGCATGTACTATTTGCTTGTTGCAAAAAACAATCATAAATCAATTTTCAGCTGTGGCTAAGTGCTAGAATAGAAATTGGAGTTTTCATAGAAGAGGCGATTTCAACCTAATCTAACTTAATTCTTCTAATTCTTTTTCTAGTTCTTTTAATTTTTGAAATGTGCACAAAGACCAACTCAATTACCGATGGTATCGTTTAAATTGCAATCAGTGATATACCACAGCTGCCATATATATATAAATACTGCATCTTTGTAGGTAGAGCAAATCTCGCTAGAGACTCTCGCGAGACGGCGCTGCCAGATCTAATTCCACATATATATATATTTTTTATAAAATATTTGTTATTAGTATTCTTTGAGCCAAAGTGATTGTTTTTGTATGTTTCACCTGCAGAGCTTATAATTTCTAATTTGAAACTATAACATTTTTACTTTAATAAAAAACATATTTAAAGGTTATAATTTTATAATTTTAAGGTTATAAGCTGCAATAAAAATATTTGCACTTTGCAAATAACGGATACCACAGGTTCACATCAATTTCCGGCAATGCAGAGATTGTCGATATCGAAAGGACATGCATTCATATTGGTGTACTCAGTGTGCTCAAAGCAGAGTTTAGAGGAACTTCGACCAATATGGGCATTAATTAAGGAGCTTAAGGTACTTATGCAATTATTTCCATAATACCATTTGTGTAAAAATATGTAATTAGAATAATCAACAACAGGGACAGGATATTGCCAATATACCGGTAATGTTGGTGGGTAATAAATGTGATGAAAGTGCTGAATTACGTGAAGTCTCACAAGTCGAAGGACAGGCACAGGCCACCGCCTGGAGTATATCATTTATGGAAACATCAGCCAAAACTAATCACAACGTAACCGAGCTTTTTCAGGTAAGTTACGTTTTATATACATACAAACACACATACACAGATACATATAAAGAGCATTCTATCACACAAACCTGAAGATGAAGAATTTTTTTTTTGCTGAGTCCTTTTTCTTTCCTTACAGGAACTGCTTAATATGGAAAAGACGCGCACAGTTTCACTGCAATTGGATACCAAAAAACAAAAGAAACAAAAAAAAGAAAAGAAAACCAAGGAAACTAATGGTGCTATACCGGAAAATGGTGAAGGCACCAGTGGTGCCAAAGAGAAATGCCATGTTATGTAAGACTACAGTGAGTCGAGCTAACAAAACAAAGGAAGTCGATGAAAAGTTTTTGCTTGCACAAGGCATGAGGGGAGAGTAAAGAAACCAATTTGCTTTAATTTATACTCGTCGAAGTTAAGTTTGCTTTATATTCGTATTTTTAAGGAAATTTTACTCATTGATTTAAGCGTTTATTATAACCGAAAATTAGTTTAAAGGTTTTTATTTGATATGTAATTTAATTAGAAATTAATTTCATTTTCATTCATCAAAACGCTTAGGTTCACATTTCTGTAATCAGTATGCCTTTAATAAGTAATATTCATCTCTTATTATTTATTTTTTATTTTTATTTTTTTTTTTAAGGATAACTTTTCACTGACCTCAATTAGCGATTTTTCGCCTTTTTTCTTTTAATTTTATGGAATTCGTTACGATAATCCTACTGCAGCGTATATTCTAATCTATTTTGTTATGCACTCGTATAGATTAAGATACAAGGTTGAATCATTAACTCTTACCATAAACTCTTCCTTGCTCCATACTATCCCAATCGATCAAATCCCAAGTTAAAGATAATAGTTGAGATGGTAAAAAATCATTGACTCTTAACATACCCTGCTCTTATGTTAGTGCTTTCAATTTTTACTCCATTTATTTAAAGAATTTATTTATAATAAATAGGTTTTATATTTTCCAAAATTCAAACTCGAGGACATTAGGGAAGAAGAATACCTCCTTGATTTGAGTCAAATCTTCTTCCGCGAATGTAATTATTTAGATTTTGAACATTTTCGTCATAAGGACTACGTACATCTATAGACTACCTTGACGGAAAAGGTTTTTCTTAACCTTTTATTTTTTAAACTTCGTTGAAACCATTGTGTAAGTTCTCAAAGTATTCATTAGTGTTTACGTTTGATTTCTTCAACAAACTACCTGAAAACTCCTTGTATGGGACGCCTAATAGATTTTAATTCACTTATGATTACCTTAATGGAGGCAATCATTATGCGGCCACGTTAACAATCTTACATAAATTTTTTTAATACCCAGCTAATAATGTAAACTTCAATACTCATCTGCTGATAGCTTCTTTAATCTCTGACCGTACATAATCGAGACTACTTATTGAACCTCAGAAATCAATTGAGTATATTGAAAACCGTTGATCTACTTGTGACTTCAGTACTTTCAAACCAGCCTACTATCCAGAGTACAAGTTTGGTTTCCAATTATGTCATCTTATAACCAGCTAATCATTCAAATCCGTATCACTTCCGTGCACTTCAAGAATTTCTAAATTTGCATACGATTGTTTATCTATAAAAAAAACATGGCTATATAATCTTGCATAAATCTTTTTCATATCCAGCTAATAATGCAAATTCAAAATTTGTTTCCAGATTCTTTAATCTTTAATTATAATCGAAAATCGAAACTACTAATTAATCAATCCAGTGTGTCCAAAGCCAATGATCTACTTGTTTACTTCTTGAATCTCTCAAACAAACTGAACATGCAAAGTCAAAAAGTGAGACATATAATCTGCATGTAATCTTTACATTCTCTGAATATGCGAAATCTAAGTCATGTGATTTTTCTGTAGCCTTAATAATCTCATATGTCAGTTCATCATGCAAGGTCTGAAGCACTGAGCCGTAAGATTTGTCTATAGACCAAACAATCTCTGACCATGCAAAATTCAAACTACTAGGCCATGTGATCTGTCTGTGATCTCTATAATCCCATAATCTATTTATAATGTAAAAAAAAAATTTCTGAGCTGTATAGCTGTTCTCTACAATATCATACTCAACTGATCATGCAAAATCAAAAGAACCGAGATATATAATATATAGCCCTCGCATAGTAGGATGAACAAGTAACAAATTATATATTTTTAATTTTAACATTTTTTTTCAATAATATTTATATATTTTCTTTCCTTTATGAATGTGTAAATATAGATCACTGTTAAAACATTAAATAACTTCATATTGAAGACGAAATATATCTTTGCTAAATGTTTGAATTGGGCACAATAGTTCTAATAACTTTAAATATCGACACATTGATATAATCACACCAGCTTATCTATATATCTTCTCTAAATATTTAGATAAGTATAGATAATATGATAAATTATATTAAAATATGCACATTGTGATAACGAACCGTGATCATTTTCAAGATCGTATAATGTGAAACTTGAAACTATGAAATCAAGCTACTATAAACTCTCTATATATATTATCTTTGTCTAACGTTTTAAATAAAATTGGCTCAATTTATGTATACATATTTTAATGCAAAGATATAAAATATTGAGTTTTTCTCTGTGAAAACCTTTTTGACATTAAGCTTATTATTAACAACCATTTCATATGAATTGGATGGAGACTTTTAGGATATAAACCTCCATATAAATAAAATTTTATGTATGAGAAGTTTTAATTAAATTTTTCATGTGGAATGGTTGTTAGTACTAGGCTTTATAAATAAATAAATCTTTCAAGACTTGGCATTTGGCATTGATCATTCCTTCATGTCTTCTCTTTTCATTTAGAAATCGTACCCCATTTTTTTAAATTTTAGTTTCATTTTGTAACTAAATATATTCTTCGCATAATGGTTTATTTTTTATAAATTTAATTTTAATTTTTTTAATTTTATATGATACACACAGCATAAAACATAATGTGAAAAATCAATGTATACATATCAATTTATGTTTGAGATTCCATATGGCTTAGAGACGAACTCATAAGAACTTTTTACTATAACATATAATATAACTATAAAATCACTAAATTTATATCATACCTAAATATATATAAACACATATATATATATACATATAACTATATCAATGTACCACAACTTGCATAAATTGTTTTAGCAATTTTATATTAATTGGCTATCGTTCAAATTACAAAACATATACATAACATATTGTATTATTACTACATACGAGTATTATATATAGTATGATCAAAATTCTCATATAATATACCTTAGAAAGATTTCAATAGCAATATATTTTTAAATAATACCAAAGATGGCCAACAACAACACTGAAGTTAAAATAAGCTTATTACACTGGGTCCTAAAATACATATGTATATGTATAATTTACTTGTACTCGTATATACATATACATTACATTTATATCATAGTATATTACATACCAGAGTATATATATCAATTATATGAAGTTTAAATTTAAAAAAAAATAATAATAAATATATACACTATTATATGCATATGCTCTATATATTTATCTTGCAAAGATTCAGTAATTGCTAAAAGAATTTAACTATATAATATATCTATAACTATATAAACATATATATAACTAAACTTACTCTTACATTCACCAGCTACAAAATGCTTCGTCATTCATAAATACATATGTACACATAAATATATATTTTTTATAACACTCCCACCCATTAGCTCCTAAGTTATATAAACTTCTTTTGCTATACAAGATACTCACCAAAAAAAAAATAAATTATTTTAAATATTTATTTAGTTAAAATTGAGCCTTGTTGTTCATTATACGTATATGAAAGATACCACAAAATAATACTATAAAGTTTATAAAAAAAATATTCAATTTTATAAAAAAAATAGTAACTTATAAGTTCATAACCCAATAAATGGTTAAATAATTTTGTATATATTTAAACTCTTTTAAAATGGCTACAAAAATAATAAATAAAAAATTTATTTGCTGAACTAAATATTTCAAATATTTGTTGTTTAACTTAATTATTAAAAATTTTCAACTTAATTAAAAAAATAAATTTCAAATAATTATAAAACTTGTATGCGATAAAACTTTGTTAATATATTTTTGCCTGATATATATTATAATTTGAAAAAAAAACAATAAAATAATATTGAAAAAAAATTAACAAAATGATTAGTTTTAAAAATTAGTTTTACTTGATTAAATAAAACAAAAAAAAGCTTTAATTGTTTCAAAAAATATTTATACATATATCTATTAAAAACAATTGTATGAACGATATATATTTAACAATATATATATATACAATATATAATTAATAATTTTTAAAAATTATTTGCTTAAAAACATCGAAATATATAATATAATATTATACACAGAAAAAATACATTTATGTAAAAATTTTAAATTAAAAAATGATAATTATTTTAAAATATTTTAATTATAATTTAAAAATTAGTTTTAGTGATTTTTATGAAAAAAAAAAAATTGCATAGTCTTAGTGCCATAAAAAATATATACACAAAAATTAATAATTTTATGTATAAACATTTTATTATATTTAAATAAATAAAAACAATAAAAAATTGCATGAAACCAATATAAAAAGAATTTATAGAAACTTGCATCTGTTTTTAATTATTATTATATGTAAAAAAATTTTTTTTCAATTATTGTATATAAGAATGGAATTTATATTATATATTTTTATTTATTGATATTTATTTATGTTGATTAATTTATATTCATTTAAATATTTTACGTTTTTTTATTAATAATAAAATATATTAATATTATATTATATTATTATATATATATGTTAATATTATATATATTAATATTCTGTTTTATTGGGTTAATTTTTATTTTTAACAAAAGTTTAACGCCATAGACCAATTAATCTATTAATACAGTGTAATAATAATTTTGTTGATTATACAACAATTTATTATATTATTATAATTATAATATTTATTATAAATTCCTTTTAAAACTGAAATTTTTAATATAAAACAGGTAATAATATTTTATAATATATACACTCTTAATACAATTAAATAACATTTTAAATACTTTTTATTTTAAAATATTTAATATTTAGCGTTCTGTGCCAGTCTTTTGTTTTATATACAAAAGTTTTCACTTGCGTTAGTAATAATTTAAAGATTCATTTGCGAAATTATTTAAATTAAATTTTATATAAAAAATAAATTTTTTTTTTATGCCCAGAATTGTGCAAATAATTTTCATAAAAATAAAAAGATTTTGTTATATTTATAGGTATATAAAAATAAAATATACTGAGAAATATAAAATAGGCTATTGGCTAGGATTTCTAATTATTTTTTTTTTTTTTATTTCCTACACATAGAATATATTTCGTGTGTTATTTTCTATAAAAATTATATATTATATGTCTTGCGGCAAGTATAAACATATATAAGAAGAGCAACAAAGGAAAACTTTATAAACCAAAATTACTACAATAACAAATATTTTGGATGATGTCCTATGTTGGAGGATTTTAAATATTACATTTTTTTAAATTTTATTATGAATTTCTACATTAATAAATGTTTTAAATTTTTCTAAATATATCTAAAAAATGTTTAATTAATGCTTTTAATTAATATAAAAATTTTATCTATCAGTAATTATATTTTTTTATGTATAAATATTTTAAATTATTTAGATTATTAATTATTTTTTATATTTCACTTGTTAAAAATAAAAATTTCATTATTATTTCTATTGACTTTCTTATAATTACTATAATTATTTTAATGTATTAATTATTTTACTCGTGTTATTTTTTATTATTCTTAATTCGATATTAATTATTATTGCTTTTTATTAATTATTTTCAATTATTATTAATTCATATATACTATTATTGTACTATGATTATTATAATAATAATTTTTGTTATAAGAATTTTTAATGACAATATAAAGTATATATATATATATATTTAAACTCTTGGAGAAGAAGATTTTATGCATGTCCATGTGGTTTTCTACCCATAAACAGAAATTATATATATTATTATAATAAAAAAAGTTTTCACTTTAAAAGTAATGTATCTTAGGATAAATTGTTTATATAGGTATATTATTTAAGATATAAGAATTTATAAAAAATTTTGAAATGTTTAGTTTAAAAATATATTGAAGAAATTTTGTTGAGCGAATCCATTACTAAACCTGCACTAATTTCCATGCCAGTAATTTTTTAAATAATAATAAATCATATCTATAATATATTAATTATAGTAATGTAACGAAACTGTGAATTTTTATAAAATTTCAAAAAGTAAATAAACACAGAGCTTTTATTTATAAAAATGAATTTAAAATTTTTCATATTAATATTCTTCTATATAATCTTAAACAATTATTAAAGATTCTACGCCCACCTCACAGTTCTTACCTTTCACTTATTATATAAAAAGTTTCACTAACGTTAATATATTATTTATTGCATATTAAATAATTAGATGAATAAATCAGATATAAACAATTTCTATTTTATATAATGAAATGTTCTCCCGAGTAAATAAAATTAATTTATTATTATTTAACTGTTGAATTAAATTTATTTTCGTGCTGTGCAATTAAAATATTCAAAAAAAAATTTTTTTTCTATAATTTATTTTATAGTCGAAAAGTATGCAATAGACGTATTTCTATTTAATTTATTGCATATTATATATACATGCCATAATAAAATAACAAATAATTACCGGAAAAGGAGCAAAAAAATTTTTTATATAATAAAAACTTTTAACTTACATATATACATTTGTGAAAAAATTATTCCAGTTTTATTGCACATACCTTTCAAATATAAACAATTAAATTCTATTCTTTATATATAATAATCAAAAAAAAATTTTATTTTTGCTCAATTAATTTACATTAAATTACATATACAAAATATTACATATTATAGTTTTTAAACAAATTTATAATTTATAGTGTTGATTATTATGTCTCCTAAAATTAAACACAAAATAATATAATATAAAGAAATTTTAAAATTCAATTTCGATAGTGGACCAATTTGAGTATAAGAATTTAAAATTTCAATTAAAATTTATAAATATATTTTTAAAAACATATTGTATATATATATGTACTTATAAAATTTTAATATTAATTTTTTTTCTTATAATTATTTATTGTAACTAGCCTTATACAAACGTTACTCTTGTTTAAAAAATATATTTTTTTGTTTTAAATAGACCTTTAATAATGAAATATTAAATACATTTTTATTTGTGATTTATACATTTTTGAAATAATTTTAATATATGAAATAAATAAAAAAAATTATTCATATATTTATTAAATGATTTATTGTGCCACATTTTACAATCCAGTCGTATAATATAATTAATTATTATTATTATTAATTATTTAGTTGGTATCCAAATTAAAATTAGTAAGTATACATTATTTAATTAAGTCTTAAATTATTTTACAAATTTCTTTTATATAAATAAGTATGATAAAAAATTGACGAATAAATTACTTACAAAATTTTTTACAAAGATTACAGTATTCGTTTTAATAATAATAATTAAATAATAATTGTACCTATGTAATTACAAAAAAAATTAATTTGAAGTTAATTTAATATTTAATTGTATTATAGAATTATAGACAATTAATAATTATGTTTCACAATTTTTACGACTGGAATTATCATTTTTTATATGGAGGAAATAGTCCTACAAATACTTCCAAGACAATATTTTATTAAATAAGGCATATGTTTACATAAAAATTATGTTATTTATTTTTTGTAAATAAACAACGATTTTGTTTTAAATAGTTAAATTCTTTTTAAAGTTTTCGTTTTAATTATTATAACAAAAATTAATGCATTATTGTATAGATATAGGCGTAGTAGCATGCATAAAAATTCTTATAGTAAATAATTACAATGTTGAAACAAATATTAAGCTTTTGCATGACTAAGTTTATAGCAATTTAAAACAAAATTTAAATATAGTAGAAAATAAAATAATATTAAATATTAAAAATCACTTGACAAAAAAATTTTTAAATTCTTTAAGTAACAAGGCATAAAAGGTAAAGGAATGATTTAAGAAATACAACGAATGATATTCATAAATATATATGCATTTGGTAATTATAAAATTAAAACTGCTTAGAAATTTTTTAAAAAAAAGGTTTAATTATTACTTTAAATTGAAGTACTTTTACATTGACATTTATTTTATATTTAAGTGCATTAAACATGAAACATTATTTAAACATTATTTATTAAATAAACAAAATAAAAATAATTAATATATTTTTAATTTAATAATTTGATTAAAAATTCAAAATTTAATAGCTTTTACATATTAAGAAAAACCAAAGAATTTACTTAAAGTAAAACAATAAAGTTTATATAAAATATTAAAAATTTTTGAAACTAAAAATTAATTTAGTTCTGAAACTGGAAATTAATAAATTAAAATTGCAATATATATAATCTTATAAAACATATATTGTTGTTAATTTAAATAATATGTAAGTATTTTATTATTATAAAACTATATTTATACACAAATAATTATTTTAAAAAATAAAGAAAAACTAATAAATTTCAAAAACCATATACAATTTTATTCCAATATAAAAATCTTTATTTTATTTTAATTTTTTACACTTCGTTCATTTCCTTTTAAGTATGCACAAATATGCACAAAATACTATTACTAATAAATTATTTAATTTTCATTTTTTTGTGTATATAAATTTAAAAATATTACATATAAATTAAAAACTCGACAAATTCAAATAAATAAAATTAATAAAAAATTATTACATTAATTAAGATAACATAAAACACAGTTTTAAAATATTAAAATTTAATTCATTTAATACATATATTTATAAGCATAATTTGCTTAACTTATTTTGAGTTCTTTTTTTTCATGCGAAAATTTCTGTTTATATTTTTATTTCACTAGTATTTTCAACCGCATTATCCAATTTTAGTTCGTCTATACATAAAACGTTGGATTCTACTTCACTGGATGCAATCTGATCTATAGTAGAATTAGGTGAATTGGATTTTGAACTAGAGCGTGTAGGAGCTTCTAACATTTCTTGTACTTCTTCCACACCAGAAGCAGCTGCTATCTGTTGTATGCCATTATTAATATTAGGTGTATTACTTATAACATTTAAAAGTAATTTTAAATTTTCACCCGATATTCTATCTTCCGTTAATTGCGGCACACCATGCAAATGTGGTGGATGTGTGTCTATCGATTGATGTTTAGGGCGGTGCAACAAAACAGACCACGCTCTCGGACTTAATATATATTTAAATGTAAGCTTTATAAGATAACCAAGCAGCACTAATAGCAATATGTCCGCAAAATAATGCAAGCCAAATGGTAATTTATCTAAAATTGAACAATATTATATATATATATATATATATATGTATAGAGACATCAAACCTCTAAAAACAGCCATAGTATCTGTACATTTTTCAATGACGAACTGCAATTGTTTCAGTAATAAATCATTAAAATACATTAAAAGCACATGATCGGGTCGACAAAATTTTATATGAATTTTTTTTGTTTTCCTGGAAATATAAAAGAAATAATATGTATGAATGAATATATATTATGATATACAAAAAATGAAATTATTTATAAGCCTTACGAATGTTTTTCATTATTATAAATATTATTTATTCCTATATGTTATTATTGTTATAGTCTATCTTCTAATTTATTCACAAGAACTTGAAAAAACAGACAAATGGATTTAATATAAGAAATATAATACGAGTAAGAGCAATATGGATTAAGGTTGAGAATTGCAATAATATTCATGAGGAATGAAACTTGTGTGAGGATTATCGAATTAAATCAATGTTATCTGAAATTACAGACATAAATTAAGTCTGCTTAAAGCGGTCGAGAATTACAATTAGCGTATATATTAAGTATTGATCAAATTCTTTACAATTAGTTTCTTCTTCTCTGATACTCTGATACATTTGAAACAGTTCACTTATTGCAAAAATATGTAGCTTTATTTCCTCTAAAATGTTGGGCGAAGGCTTCAAACATGATGAATATCATGTCAATATCAGAAATAGTTAGGTTAGATTGAGTAAAGTGGCAGTCCATTAGCGACCATTGCAACTAAAACCAACTACAGAACCTCGTAAACATCAAAAACAAAATTTTGGTAATTTTTTCCAGGTTATCCACGGTGTATTCATGCGTAGAAACTGTATTGGTTGATTTCCACCTTTAATATAAAATAATATCTTTTTATGTGTCAATGCTTCTTTACAAGAAACATTTTAAACCCGGCATTGTGTTTAATAGTTAAAACTGTTATGGCAGTACATCGGCTCTAATATTGGTTGAGTGTACATTCTACAACCAGTCGTTAACATCAACGGTCAGAGACCTATTTAGGTCATTTAAGGCTCTGTATTGTGATTAGTTATGAACAGTTACAGCAGATCTGCAATACGTTTATTTTAGATAGTGGTTGAGTGTGCGTACCACAACCACTTGAATGTACTTTTGTCGCAATTTTATTGTTTGCAAGATAACGGAACAGATTTCTTTAAGACTGAGGCAACTACACAGACTACGATTTATAAAATTGAAGGTATTATTTTTTAATTTTTTTTTTTTTGCATCAACTTTAACTTTGTGGTTTTTTTAACCTCTCTGCTGATACGAACGATCTGCTCCTTTAGTTTTGAAACATCAATTGCAATCTTATAGTGTAGTGAACGAAGTAAGCTAGACCCTACGATGCATTTAGGCTTCATTTATGATATTAGATTCCAAATAAATATCTATTATTATTAAAAAATTACTAACATTATTTTTTCACTTAATGTTTCTTCCTTCTTGCCAAACCAACTGATTGGATTATACCAACGCACATCTTTTATTGCTTCTTTTTCTTCAATATTTTTTATTGCCGCTATAGTTTGAGTATTTTCTAGTTCCTAAAATTAGATTTTTTTATTTATACATTTTTTTTTAAATTAATTAATATTACCCGATTACATTCTAAATATGTTATGACATAGCCTGACAGGAATACAACACCTAAAATTATAACAAAGACTCCAATTTTGTAACGTTTGTGCAAAATACGTCCAAAAATAACTGTGGCAATAGCGATTAATAAGAATTGTGTCTGAAATTAGAAATATAATTAATAAAATACTAAAATTCATTAAAATATAAATACTGAATTTTATTAAAATATAAATACATTATAATAATTAGATTGATTGATATTATAAAGCAAGACACAAGCCTCCATTGGAAAAAGAAAACTATTCTAAATTAATTATAATTTAATTTATTTAGTTTAAAAATTAAAAGTTGTTTGTTTCATAATAAACTTTTAAACAATAATATTATTTTATGTGCAATTTATTTCATTAGAATATAGCTCACCTCTGATGTATGCAGCAAATGCATGTAGTCCTTCAAGAAATTCAAAAATGGTCTTAACCAGTCATTTCCTGTTAAGGAACTTTTGATTTGTTTGACATTGCGAACATTAGCGAAAACTTCCGTTAAAACCGTATCCAAATCGCGTGGATCATTTAAATTTTCAAGCTTCTCCAATTGCTCAGCTTTAATTGTGAATTCCAGAGAACGTTTATAGATAGAAGTAAATTCATCAAACTTAAAAATTGAGCAAAACATGTTTGACATTAATTAACACAAAAATATAATAAATAAATAAACATTTAAGAGTGTGAGTTATGCCGGTCGCGCAAATGACGTCATCAACTTATTGTTATCAATAAAAAGAGCGCAAATTTGGTAAAAATTTTTTTTTTAAACTTACTTCAAATTTATTGCGTTGAAATAAGTTTTTAACGAATTTCTTAAAAAGCAGTAATGCAACTGTGTTATCACTGACTGGGCAAACGGCAGCATCATTATTAATATTTGGTATTTTGCATTTAAGGCACACGTCATCCTCAGCTGCGTCATTTAAACGCTTTAAAGCACTTAAACTGGCTTCTCTTCCCCATGCATTCGGTTCTATCCATTCCTCCTGATTGTATTCATCACTAAGTACACTATTTCCAATCGACAACAGCACTAATATATTTAATAATTTAAAATTCTTTGTCTGCATTGTCGTACAATCATTTTTTCTAGTTAACCGAAAAGCTTGCAAAGTCAAACTCAAACTGTAAAAGACTCAGACCATTTAAAGTTGCGTTACTAATTTCGCAACAACAACAACAAATTAAGGGTGAGTGTTTACCTGTTCGTAATTGTAAACAAAATCATATGTGCTGTAATTTAGGACAGGGTTGCATTGAGAGTGTATGAGTTCTCTTTGTTTAACAATTGTTTTTGTTTTTAAATATTTTTATCTGCAAAGAAATATTTTTTTAAATTATATGGGCGCTTATTACAATAAATATATTTTCAATTAAACAAACTTCTAGTTAAAAGAAATTTTTCAGTATAATTTTGTTTTGGTTTATACCATATTTGGTAATAAAATGGCGAATAAATCATATAAGATACATTTATCCCATATCGACTATTTGAAAACAATATATCATATAGAATATTTAAATTCATATCGAATAAAAATGATCTTGCACCTTTTTAATATATCAGCAAATATTGTTTAAAAAGTAAATTAAATTTATTGTGTAAGTCCATTTATGAAAATAAAAATTTCATTTTATTTTCAACCTTAAAAGATCCTTAAAACATTCTTTGCCCACCATTGACAAGATAAAAGCAGAATCGTTGAAGGAACTGAACGCTACATCGAAATGCGAAAGCTAAAAGTGCTGCCAGGATTGTCAATTACACAGACCGCAAATGTATCTTTTCTAATCAGTCATTTAAAACTGTTTACATTCGTTGTTGTATCATTTCTTCTCATTTGAAATAGCTGATTTGTCAACGTGCCTGTTGAATTGATTTTTGGCCTGTACCAAAAAAATGTTGAATGAAGGTAAAATATATCTTCAAACCTTATAATATAAACTGAATACTTATTTTTAGCTTCGATTAAGTAGAAATTCCAAAAAGAGGTGCATCGTTTTCAAGAAAATACAACCACTAAGCATTTCTTTACCTTTTTTTGTAAATATTGCAAAAACAGCGTTCTCTAACTGTCTAAATGCCATGAAAAAGTTTCATTAAGGATATGTTCAATATATTCATTTGCATTTGGAACTCATTTGAAACACGTTGGAACTCATGTACACAAAATGAGATCGAGTGTGGATTTCATGTACGCATATGAGATTTTATATGAAGAAATCAATCATTTGCTTCTCATTTGTGATTTTTTACCTAAATCAGTCAAACATAATCGATATTAAAAATAAAAAATAAATTAACAATGAAAATAATAAATAAAAATAGTTAACTTTTGAAACAATGTGATATGCACTCAAACATATATTTGCGTTGCGTAAAAGCTATACTATTTTTTAATCGTCAGATTGAATAAATTTACAACATATCTATTTACCTAAAAAATAGATGCCTAATAGAAAAAACAGAACTTCTTACAGTTGAAAAATATTTTACACGTAAGCGTGAACATCCAACTATACTTTTATAGGTATGTCTTGATTTAATTATCCACTTCATTTTAAAACATAAAACATCGTTTTACAACACTATATGCCGCTACAAATCAGTCTTTATTTACAAATATTTAATAAAAACTTTATTTCACATATAATAAATAAGTTATAAATAAATAATGGAGGTTGATGAAAATAATTTAGGAAAACTAACAGAGCAATCATTTAAACGTAAAGAGCGGCTACTTAAACTACGGGAACAAGCCAGTAAAGCAAATAAAAATAATAGCGAAAGTGGCGAGAAACTACCAAAGTAAATAATTTTTTTTTATACATTATTAATATAAATTTTTTATTAAAGAAATCGTAATTTGTTAATATATTAATTTGTTACAGACCGGTGTTTCGCAGTTATAAACCACTTAATGAAAGCACAAATGCTGAGGTGTTAGAACAGGAACCCACTGGTGACATTGAAAAAGCGGTTGAGAATCAATTGGAACTGTTACAACAACCGATGACTGTCGACGAGATAGACATAACAAATCTAGCACCACGTAAACCAGATTGGGATTTAAAACGTGAAATTAGTAAAAAACTTGATATACTACAGCGACGTACGCAGAAGGCTATAGCTGAACTAATACGTGAACGTTTAAAAAAGAACCAAGATCAAGATATTTTTCAAGCTGTTAATGTTGGCACAGCACATGTAACTGACCAAGTAGATAACGATGATGAAACGTAAAAGAAATTTAGTTGTAGTTTATAGTTTTTAATAGATATTTTTTTTATTCAAATAAAATATGTATGTGTTCATAAATAGTACTTTTTGTCATTTAAAGATATCTCCTGAGATTACATATATTGTGTTAGATATTGATCACACTTGCGTACGCTAGACCCGTATTAACTTACATACTATACTATTCCATTATATAAACTGCAAGGCTTTATACTTTACAGTGAATTTTTAAATGATGATGCTACCAAATTCTGCATATCCCGATAAGTTAATATAGTTTTACAGTAGATCATCATCGACAGATTATTTATCGACCAATTGTAATACTGTTAAAAAATATATATTCTTCAATGTTGATTTTTTAATAATTTTGACCAATTTTAATTGGGTGCTGGTAAGGGTATATAGGTTATCTGCCAGCAGTATTGCTAAATTCTATAGTCTTAAAGTTGTTGGAGCAGAACATTATCCAAGCAGATACTTTATGATCTTCTTAGACAAATCCAGTGATCATAGTCATGATCATGAATCAGCATAAACAGTAAGTTAGCCTCAATGCACTTAAAATAGTGTAAACAGGAAGCGTTACTTTGTGTGTAGGATAAATTCCTAAACAAAACTGTAATATTGCGCTTTGTCTTTTATTTGCCTTGATACAAAGTAAGACAAAACTTAATTTCACAAATATGTGAAATAAATCCACATAACAGGTTAATGGCTTCGGAAAAAGATCTATACTTTCTTAAAATCACTCTAAAACAAATTAAACACATCACTGCGGTTTAACCAACAAATTAATTTCTAATGCAAATGATAAAAGACTAACAGTAACTTTCGGTGGAGAATGTTGTACATATAAATATATTTAAACATTAAACATAGAGTGAATAAGTCTATAATTTTGAACTGTGAATAATAAAATATAACAAACAGTAATAAAAACTTTAAAAATATAAAACATAAATGTCACGTTCTTTTATTTATTTGCAAAACATTTGCAACTGTTGCACAGTTTTCCTTGTCCGGTAATTCTAATTTTTGTTTAAGTACTTGAATTTCTAAAATATTCATGAATGTAAATATTAAAATGAATTTATTAATAAAGCATTTTTTCTTACGGTCTCTATATTTGCTTTCCAACTCATTGGCGAATTTACGCATTGAAGCAAGCTGCAATGGTATCTCTTGTCGTAAAGTATTTATTGTTTGCTGGAGTAGTAAAATTTTTTGTTGACTATCTTTTAACATATTATCTTTCTCCAGGACCGCTTTCTCTTGATGTAACGCAACTTCAGTACGCCAAATCACAGTCTTCCTTAATCGTACAAGTTCTTGGTTTTGTTTTACTATTATCTCATTAGCTTTGGATATTTCCGCAGAAGCCATTTCTAAAGCTTGTCGTTTCGTATGTAGGATATTCTTTTCTGCATCAAGTTGGGCTATTATATCAGCCTGTGGGAATTGAAGAGGATAACATAAAATCAAAGTAGATATTAATATAAATATGTTAATATATACTAATCATCAGCATAGTGAACAGACTTACACGTATTGAAAAGTTAAAATTTCGAATATTAGAACTTTTGAATATTAGAAATTTTGAATATTGAATATTAGCAAGTTTAATATACCCTCCCTAACACTATATAACCTTTATCTAATTATTATTTAAATATGCTAAATAAATGCAAATCCGTGATGCCTATGTTGATGACTGTACATAACAGTATTTATTAATTATTTATTTAGTAAGTAAATATGAAATATATATCTTTTCTTTGGATTACCTTTGATTTTTCATATTTCTTAGATTTCTCTTGTAGCTCTGTTATATGTTTACGTGCATCCATTAGTTGCATTTCATTTTTTCGTTCTACATTCCTAATGGAAGCCAGCTCACCGTGAAGTGTTTCATTTTGGTCTTTCATTTGTGCAACATGTGACTTAACTGCACACAGTTCCTCATTTAGAGCTTCAATTTTCTTTTGATCTTGACTGCAAATTAAATAATTTATGATTTGATATAATTTAAACAGTTATTCTCTACATACAGTTTTTCGGTTTGTATATTAGCTTTCTCTAATGTTAATTTATCAATCTGCAATTGCATTGTTAGTTGAGCCTTCCGATGACGCTCATTGTCAATCTTCCTATTCTCTAAGACATCACGTATGTTTTCCTCTAATTTTTGTATTTCATCTGCGTGGCGCTGAGATGAATTTCTTTTACTTTCCAATAATGTTTCTCGTAATTTAGAATTTTCTGCTTGTAATTGTTCTATATGTCGAATGTGGGTATGTGACTCCACTTGTAATTGTTGTGCTGTCACCTCATGTATTGCTGCTTTTTTCTAAACAAAAAAATCAAATTACTTTAACAAGTCCATGCAAATATTTTACACTATTTAATACCTGTAACGAATCTAATATGGTATTCATATAGAATAGCACAACATTTAATGGTGCCAAAACACATGGCAGTGATAAATGTACTAAATTTTTAAAGCTCCGCATCTCAACAAATTGCATTTGATATTGTGAATTCGTCGTTCTATCGTTATTTTGTTTTTGCATTTGTATAACACATATTTCCAGTTTTCCAGCCTGGCAATCTTGAAGAATTTTGACTAAATTTTCAATAAAACCACTGAAGGTTACATGTAATGACTGATCCTGCTTGAGCTCGTGAAAATTGCTACCATCAATCGTGCACAGCCACATACGTCTTTGATCCGTTTTTTCTGTCACTCTTAGTTGCTATATTGATCAATGAAAAATTTTAATTAAATATTTGTAAATTATTTTGTAATATTTTTAATTACAACTAAGCCTTTGAAATCCATTTTTTCTGCGTAAACAAAACAAGTTTTTTTTGTTTGAATGCCATTTGTACGAAAGTTTATTAGCATTTCTATACTTGGCATAATGCAATCTATATTTTTACTGTAACTTATATTGGAAAAGTAATCATCTTCCTCGATCATTGTTGATAAATAGCTTTATTTTAATTAAATTTTAAAATATTTATATTTTTAAAAATGTACGCCTCAGTATTTGTTTTTTTTTCGGAACAAACGTCAAACTATTTTTTTCAAAGCACAATTTAGTGCTGCCAAAGCATTGATATTTTTAGTGCCACATCTCGTTAAAATTTAATTACAAATATATAATCACTTAAATATCTTTGACTTGAATTTCTAACTGAATTATCTTATTACATATTTATTTTGCATTGAAAATATTATTTTTTAAATTACAAGTATCAAATCTCGTAGCTCATTCAAGATGACAGTCATCTTACGCTAAATAGAAGTACCGCACTAAAAAAATGGTTTAAGCTGGCCATTTTGATTAAATACAATTTTGCTTACACTTCGTTATTTCGTTGAGAAAGTGGAAAATGAATAACAAGGAAGCATAAATAATTGATGCAATCAATATTTTTAAGATTTGTAATAAATTAATATCAGAACTATATGTATGCAACCAGATAACAGTTGTTTAATATTAAAAGAAAAAAATTTCGCACCATGCAAAACGTAAACAAAAATGACAAATGTCAAAAACATCAATGGATATTATTAAGCTCTGTTTAATACTTTCAATGAGTATGTTCAATGTTTTGTTTAAATTTACAAATATTCATTTATATATATCGAAAATTAATTTAAACCAATTATACAATTTTTATTTTAACGCCACATTATTATATTATTAAAATTATTTAATTAATTTAATTCATTGCTAATTCAGTTTTAATTAGATGCATAACATAGAATTTAAAATCTTCTGTGAAACGCGTATGTTATGTGGATTTGATCCACATATTTATCAATTTAAGTTTGTCTTACAAACCAATAGACAAAGCAACAAAAACGGCTTATAATGTTGTTTATTTTAAATGATAAATAATCTAAACTTAGGTCGTGTGCGAGTTAGGCTAAGTTGATGCTAAACCAAATGGGAGATTTTTTGGGATTTTTTGCACTGCACACATTTTGCCATTTATCAACACGTATCGACACATCAATACATTATCGACACAACTTAGAATTTCCCTCATTTAGAAAGCAACTTAGCCTAACTCGCACACGACCTTAATGTTATCGTCAACCGGATGTTGTTTGAAAAGGACATTGTTGATCATTTAAGTATCCAAAGGGAAATTCCATTATTTCATTAAATACTTTTGTATAGATAAATTGTATTATTAATTATAAATACAAGGCACCGTATCTAATTACAATTATGAAAATAAGACAATACAAGGAAAAATCCCAAGTGCCGGGAGTTCCGTCCTTGTATCCCATTTTGAACCTTTTTGCAAACAACAATAAAATGTAATAATACAATCCACTAAAGATAGCGATAACTGACAACATATTATTTCAACCTTGATAGAAAATTAGTTAAGTTAGTTGTAAGATAATTTTATATAAATAAAGAAACAACTTTCTAGAAAAGTTAGTAATTTTAAACTATTCAATCTGTGTGCATTTATTGTCGAGGGACATTAGGCATAACACGTAAATAGAATATATATCGTTTTGTATATTATCTGTTTTATTATTGTGCTTGGTGTTGTTACAGTTTTTACAAAATTCAAGTATTACCTTGCGTTTTAATGGCAACAAATCTAGTATTGTAATAAGTCTGCAACAATTGCATGACATTCATTGGTATTTTTATATTTATTAATGATATTTATTAATATATGATATGATATTGAACAATGCTAAAAATATAAATAGCCTAAACTGGGTGTGAAGTTAATGTTAATATGATTTTTTACATTGATACGAGATAAAAGAATTTGTTTCGCTAATAATACTAATACACAGCTATTAATTTAAGTCTATTCTAGTGCTGATTGTGTTCTCAGCATTAGGGAATATAAAACATATTTATTATTAAAAAAAAAATTTTTTAAATAATTATTATAATTTTATTTCATATCTTTATAAAAATACTGTTATTATTTGCTCTGATTATAATATATAAATATATTTAAGAAAATTTTATATCATATATACCATACATAAATTTTTTAGCAAAAAGAACAATTTTAGAAATGCTAAAAATCCTATACATTCATAAGCTATGATTCGCAATTATCGATAAATATTACAATTGTTTTCTTTATCGTGACGACGCTTCGGTATTAATATTTTCGGATCTCATTACATTTTTCACTTTGTAAATTATGCCAGTAAGTGTGTGAATTTATTTCTTCTCTAAGTGAATGTTATTTTTAATTATGTTATATTACTTGCATTTAGCAGCCCCCTATTAAGATTTTCGTTGGAAGTTTACCTCAAGGCTCAAAGCCGCATGAATTACGTATGCTCTTCGAGGTGTATGGTGTTGTGGTAGAGTGTGATGTTATGAATCGTTGTGGATTTGTGCATATGCAAACCATTGATATGGCCAAAAATGCCATTGCAGCATTAAACGATAGTGACTTTAAGGGACAAAAAATTATTGTCGAAGAAGGACGCCCAAAAAATAAAGCAATTACAGGTACTGTTGGAACCGAAAGTAATCACAACAATATGAATGATAATTTAAAAGGATCAGGTAAGTACACAACTTACACTTACACTTTACTGATAAAAACACTTTATTTATTATATAAATTATAGGTAATAATAGAGGCTTTAACAATAACAATAATAACCGTGGAAGAAATAGAAATTTCAATGGCGGTTCTACACGAAATAATAATTACAAACAACGCAGTGCACCATATACACAACAACCACCCAACAGAAATATCTTTACTGGTGATCCTCAAAAAAATGATAGATTTAATAGAAATCAAGGTGGCAACTTCAATCAAGGTCCACAAATAAATTTCATGCGTAATCAAGATTCAAGGGCAGGTGCAGGTCCAACAAATAATCAATTCGGCAATAACAACAATGCAACAACAGGAGGCTTTCGTAACCACAAAAATGACAACAATTTTGGTTCTAATGCTAATCAAAGAAACACAAACAATGGTAATGGTCAGTTCGGTAGATCAGGTCGTCCAAATCATGCTAATTTACAAGATAGACGTGGTTTTGCTTTACCTAATGCAAATCATCAACAACAAAGTCAATTTAATAGTGGAAATGGTAATCAATTTAGCCGTGGTGGTAATCAATTTAATGATGGCAATCCAATCAATTCTCCTATGAGAAATGGTAATCAATTTAACCGTGGTGGTAATCAATTTAATGATGGCAATCCAATCAATAATCCTATGAGAAATCCTAATCAGTTTAGTCGTGGTAATAATCAATTTAATGATGGCAATCCGAACAATAACCCGATGAGAAATGGTAATCAGTTCAGTCGTGGTGGTAATCAATTAAATGAAGGCAATTCAACCAAAAATCCATTTCAACGAGTAGGTGTTAATATGGGCGGTGCAGCACCCAATAATAGTTTACATGGTCAAAATATGTTCTCGCAACCACCAAATTTACAAAACAAAATGTACGTAATTTTTGTTAATTGTAATTTATTTGTTAAGTTATTGAATATACGTTTTTAGGGGAACCAACAATAATTATAGAAATAATCGTGGTGGTCCTTATAATCGAAATCAAGGCGATTTCAATAACAGACGTGCCGGCGGCGGAACTGGTTTCAGCGGTGGTAGTGATAGAAATGGAAATTCATTCAATCAAAACTTTCGAAATAACAATGCAGCCGGAAATGGTAGAAATAATTTCCAGAAAAACTTTCCACAGCCGCCTAATTCTCAAAATTTTGGACTTGGAAATTGGTGAGATTACTAATAAATCTACATAATATTTAGTAAAAAAAATCTAACTTTGTAATAGTGTAATCATTATGTCCTAATATAGCATTCATTTTCCAGGATGGCCTGGTTAGTTAGTGTCAATTTTTTTTAATATATTGTAGGTAAATTTTAGTCTTAATTTGAATATATTTTATTGTTTTTGGGGAATTATAGATTTTGTATATTGCAGTCGCTGTGATTGTCTCAACTACAATTATCTGTCTCAACCCTATCTTTGTTATAAAGTGTGTATTTGTTCTTTTATGTAATATTTTATCTATTTGATACGATTCCGAGTTAGTCTTTTGGAATTCCATATAAACTATTAAAGTATTTATTGTCCTATTATTATTTCTATTATTGAAAAAGTTTTATAAAACTTATATTTATAATGGTTTAAAAACAGTTATAACGAACGCATCTAAGGTGTATTCTGAATAATGCCTTTCGAGTTAGTCTTTCATGTTGTTGTTGTTGTGGCCTGTCGGGATCTGAAAAACAGATAACACGTAAGGATTATAAGACGAATACATGGGTAGTTTTAACGATTAATATTTAATCGCCTGATGACATATATTAGATCACATTAAATGAGGTGAATCTACTTCCATATACGATGTGTGCTTTTCAACCTCACAAGATTTTGTATAGTGTGAATCTGTTTGAGAACCCTCTTTTTACATACAAGTTAGGTATAACATATATTACATATATTTAATATATTCTATAAATATTCGATTTCATCTTTTTTAATTTTAAATTAATATTAATTTTAAGCGTAAGAAAAATCTAATCTATGTCTCACAGTTGCGCTATCAGATAATCACTTCGTTTTTTCACCTAATCACTAGAGTTGGCGGTCTTATAGTCTTGGTCTTATAGTCTTATTCTTGTAATCTTCGACTTGTAGTCTGGTCGTGTCACTAAATCCCTTAAAGTAATTAAATTTTGTAGTGCTTTAAAAATTACTTTTATAAAATTCATAAGATAGTTTGAGTTCTTATCAATATAAATAAAAAATAAATTGTATATTAAGTGCTTAACAACAGCACTTTTATAACTTTTATATAGTGAAACTTCCTATCCCTAGGCATTAACTAATTTGAAATTTATATAACGAAGCAAACAATTGATATTCATTAAAATTTATCTATTAAATTTAATTATCTAAAACTATCTAATTATCTAAAATTTATTAATAAAAATTGTATTTTTTAGATTGAAGAATTCTAAGTACCCATTTGTGAATGGAATTCAACATTTTTGAGAATATTTTCTAAATAACACATAATTGTGTTATATATTGTGTGAATTATTAAATTTTGTAATTTAATTTTATAACAAAGTGTTATATTATTTATATATTTTACTTACATCCTGCTATTTGAATCAAAAAAATGTATTTTATTTTATAT